AGGGACAGTTTTGCTGGATATATAATTCGTGGTTGGCAGTATTTTTCCTTCAAGATTTTTTATTGGTCATCCCACTGACTTATTGCCTGCATGGTTTCTGCTGAGAAATCAGAGTTTAGTCTTTCTGGTTGCCCTTTGTAGGTGGCATTTCACTTTTCCCAAACTGCTCTCAAGATTCTTTGTCTTTTGTTTTGGTTTTGGAAAGTTTGATTATGATGTGTCTTGGTAGCTTTTTCTTGGGATCTTTCCTGCAGGGGGTTATTAGACAACTTCTGGTATCATATCATTTGAAATAATAAATACAATTTTAATTCTCAGAAAGGGATGGGAAATAGAAGTCAAAAGCTTTTTAGTATTTTCTATTTGAAAATCTGTTTAATTTTCTTGGCTACAATGGTATTACTCTTTTAAATATTTAATATATAAAATATTTATAATGGATGGGGAAAATGAGCATTTAGTCAGGTGATGGACAAAAAGGAATTGTGTGAGTAGTTTATCTACATCAGGCATCTTTCACCTTATCCTAGTGGTGAAAGATTTTTTTAAAATGTATCCAAAATCACAGTAGTTATATAAAAATATGGAATGTAAGAAGTTTGTTTTTAACAAAGCCTAGTACTGTATATCACTTGCCAATTTGATTTGTTTTTAGTGAGTAGTCTTATGTAATTCACATGGATTAAGAGGAGTAAAAGAGAAAATCCCCAAATCTTTTATGTTACCTGACCTTCACCAGAGTACCATACTCATATTTCCCACTATCGCGTAGGGACCCACCCTGAATTTCTGCTGACATTTCTAGTCTACATGTCAAAATTGAATTACTGTCTACCTCTCTCCTTCCTTCCTTTTCCCCTCTCCTCTGTCCTCCATGTTCTAAGCCCAGTTTGCCTTTCCTCTTATATTTTTCATTGTTGTTAATGGTGTTGCTATTCATTTAGTCACTCAAAGTAGAAACTTTGGGATTATTCTCATTTTTTTCTCTTCCTCATCCTCTATATCTACTTGATCAAGTCATTATCAGTTTTCCTTGAAGAGAAAGCTTTAGAATTTACCCTTGTCTGTCAGCAGTACTACTTCTTAGTTTAAAAACTGATCACATTTCTCTTGGAGCTTTTCAGCTATCTCACAATTGTCTTCCTTGCCACCATTCACTTCCTACTATATTTAGTTTTTTGATTCTTTTAAGGTATTATAATTCTACATGGCAAATCTGTAATCATATTGTTCCCTAAGCATAAAATCTTTAAACCAAAAAACCAAACTTACTGCTATCAAGTTGATTCCAACTCTTACTGACCCCCTTTGGGTTTCTGAGGTGGTAAATCTTTATGGAAGTAGATTGCCCAGTCTTCCTTCTGTGGAGTGGTTGGTGGGTTTGAACCACCAACCTTCCAGTTAGCAGTCAAATGCCTTAGGCACTATGCCATGAATTGATCTCAACTCATAGCGACCCTTCTTGGGTTTCCAAGGCGGTATCTCTATGGAAGTAGATTGCCCAGTGTTCCTTCCAAGGAGTGGCTGATGGGTTTGAACTGCCAAACTTCTGTTTAGCAGTGAATTGCTGTAGGCACTACGCAGAGCTCTTTGTTGTTGTTATGTGCTGTCGAGTCGGCCCCGACTCATAGCGACCCCTCCTTGGGTTTCCGAGGCAGTATCACTACGGAAGTAGATTGCCCCATCTTCCTTCTGGGGAGTGGCTGGTGGGTTTGAACCACCAGCCTTCTTGTTAGCAGTAAAGTGCCTTAGCCACTATGCTACCAGAGCTCTTTAGGATAATATTAAAAATTCTGTGACAGTTTGAACTCTACTTTGATCTCCTGTCTCACCTCCTCTGATATATTCTTATTATTTCCAGAACATACATTAATTAATTCTTTCCTTCACAATGGCCATTAAATGTCAGCTCTGTGCTGCAGATTGTGCTGGATTCTTTGAGTATATGGAGATTAAGAAGACAGTTATGACTCTTGCCCATTAGTGCTTATAGCATACCACACACACTGCTTCTGTTTCTTTGACTATGGGATTTCATCTGTCCTTCTACTATTTATAGAGTTTCTGTTAATCTTTTAAAGCATAGTCAAGTGTCATCTCCTTTTTGAAGCATTTTGTACCTTCTCCAGGTGTTGTTTCTTCTTTGTGCTTCAATAATACTTTGTGTTCATGCCTCTAACCTAGTACTTACTCTATCTATTTGTTTATAGTTGATGTTTCCTATTAAGTTACATTTACAGTTGGCAAGGAGGAAGATGATAGAGGAAATAGGAGAAATAGGATTGAGGTAAACAATAGGAAGAGATAAGAAGAGAGGGAGAAAGGAAAAAAGGAGAAGCGGTATGAGCATAGTTTAAAAAACAGACTCTGGATACAGACAGGGTTGGGATCCTGACTTTCCACTTACTAGCTGGACATGTAGTTTAATATGGCTGTCTCTCAATATCTCTGTCTAAATTTATAATAGGCATAATAATGGGGTCATAGTAGAAATTAAATTTGTTAGCATAGAGTCTAAGGCACTTGACTGCTAACCAGAAGGCTGGCAGTTCAAATCCACCAGCCACTCCTCAAATGGAAGTTTGGGCAATTTACCTCCGTAGTGATGTTGTTGTTGTTGTCATGTGCCGTCAAGTCGGACCCGACTCATAGCGACCCCTCCTTGGGTTTCCGAGGCAGTATCACTACGGAAGTAGATTGCCCCATCAGCCTTCCGAGGAGTGGCTGGTGGATTTGAACCGCCAGCCTTCTGGTTAGCAGTCAAGTGCCTTAGGCACTATGCTACCAGAGCTCACCTCCTCGAAAACCCAAGGAGGGATCGCTATGAGTCGGGGCCGACTCAACGGCACGTAACAACACAACAACATATGTAAAGTGATTAAAATAGTGAATGGCGTATAATATATGCTATATGTGTTTGCTGCTATTGTTATTAGCAGTAAATAGCTTTCTTATTTCTTATGGAGTGAGCTAGATTTTCTGTCTCATCTAGTCTTCAAGATAGGATATGTCCAGGTTATGAATATCTAATCTCATGTGGCAACTTAAAGCATCAAACTCTTGAGTATGTTTTATTTCAAGGATATAAAGTTTTATTTATTTGCTATTTACAGTATTTCATTAAAGTACTATGCTCTTCTATCTCTTTGCACCAGATTCTGTCCAGCTTCTGACCTTCCCGGCCACCATACTGCTGTTTTCATTCTTACCTCATCCTTGAGACTTGAAGTACACCATTGTTTTTATGTTGTGTACCTTGGCTTCTTTTATTAAAATATTATTCTCTTCTCTGACTGTGCTCCAGACAAAGACTGAGATAGGTAGGACTGATGCCTAGGTATTAACTTCTTGGTTCTAGTAACAGCTTCTGTCCCTGGATCTGATATCCAGATAGCACTCTTATCATTCTTACCACCCTCATTCTCATTGCCCCTTCTATACAGTATCACTCTGTGCTCCATCCTCAACCACACACTGTTGACCCAGTTTTGAGTGAACTATAATGTCATACTCAATAATACACTCAGGATGCACAACTTTCACAAATAATGAAAGCCTAATAGATTCAAGCACTCATTATTAACCAGCTGGTAATTTCATTTTTGGCAAATAAGTTAGATGCTTATAATCACGGCTCTTCTGATCAGAGAAAAAAAAAGTCTTGAAGGATTTTTTTTTAAATTGGTGCGTGAGTGATGTAGGAAGAAATGGTAAATTGTAGACATAGGGGGTGTTTGAGGCTTAGGAATTACTCTCAACTAGGGAGGGGTCGCTGTGAGTCGGGCCAACTCGACGGCAAACAACAACAACAATATTTGAATATTACATGTAAGGCACTGGGAATACACAAAATTGGTTTATATTGTATTATAACTAATGTAGTGACAAATAATGCAGAAATTGAAAGGAAGGAGTGAAACATGATTGGAATGGTTGGAGAAGATTTTGTCTCTTCTCACTTTATGCAATCTCCCTGAGTGATCTCATCTGTTCTTTAGAGATTTATATGTCTAGTAGCTCATCATAACCAAATTTTGTTCACTTTCTGGAATGTACGGTGATGTCCTGTTTCTGGGCCTTTGCATGTGCTGTTTCTTCTGCCTGGAATAGTATTACCTTGGTTAATTCTTACTCATTCTTAAAATAAAATCAAAGAAATTGTAACTTTGAGAAAAACTCTCTTGGTTCTTCAACACTTAATTAAGTGTTCCTGTGGTTCTCATAGTTGCTGTTCTTCCATAATTTCAGTTTTTATTGCATGATATTGTAAATGCCTTCACCAGCCTGTCATGGAAGACAAGAACTATGTATATCAGTGCCTGTCATATGACTAGTGCTCCAAAAGTATTTGGTGGCTAAGTGAATGAGAGATATGATAGAGGAGACTTGGTCATTCCAGGCAAGGAGAAGGGGATGAATGAAACAGGAGTGTGGAATTGCGTATAACCTGTTCTGAGGTAATGAGTGGAACCATTTAACTGTAGTGTAATATTGAAAAGAGAGGCTAGAGCTTTGAGTGTCAGGTTACAGAGTCCACAATTTATTTAATAAGAAAGGGGCATTGAAACTTTTAGAGATAAAATTAATAATAAATATATTTTTTCATGAGTTTTATACACCAAAAAAAAAAAAACCTCTCCAGTGCCTAGGAATTATTACTTTTTAAAATTCTTATGTTAAAGTTTTTGTCATACTCTTCAGTAGATGAAATGTGGTAAAGGCTTATTTTGTAGACTCCTGTCTTTATTTTGAGATTATTTGTTTCCAACCTAATTTATAAGGAAATTTTTAGAAGATATGAATGAATGCTATTGCTTAAATTAAACAAATGCCATTAAAAGAAGTTTGTTTTTCTTATAAATGAAACTTTTGAACTATGACAATTAAAAATATGTGATTCAAATAAGGCAGTAACTTAACATATGTGTGGGGTTTTCCTTTTTTCTGTAGTTTAAAAGAAATAAATGCTTACAGCTGTGACTTTTTTTTCTCTAGTATCTCCAGAGGCAGTTGGATTTTTGTCAGCTGTTGGGGTGTTTATTATCTTGATGCTGCTCCTTTTTCTCTATATTAATAAGAAGTTCTGTTTTGAAAATGTTGGCGGGTTTCCAGATCTTGGTTCAGGATACAGTACAAGAAATAATTCACAAGATAAAATTTGTAAGTATCATATCACTGCTTTTCTTTTTTCTTTTTAATCTCTGCTATTCTATTATTTTGTATGGTTGTATACATATATATATACGTGTGTGTGTGTGTATGTGTGTGTATATATAGAGAATAGAAACCATGTTTTCAACATTTAATAAACTAACATTTGAGTCACTATTGTGTGAGAGTAAAAGATTTACTTTTAAGTAACAAAGCCAATTATACTTCTGCTGGCCAGAAATTACTAATACTGTGTATAGATAAACTGTCTACTGTCACAAAAAATGACATTTTTATTTTTTGTGTATGGTGTTATGCTTTGGAGTATTTAATATGAACACGTATGTTTTAGGAAGAAGAAAATATATTGATGCACGTATACCTAAATCCATTCTCCATATAGCTCTCCAGAGGGCTTTTTTCCAGTGTCCCTAGAGAGCTTTTGAAAATGTTCACTCGTTTTCTTTACCTGCTGTTGAATTCTCTCTCAGCTGATGGATAATTTTAGTGTTTGGAGAATGTGGTTGTTCCTGGTAACTTAGTTTAGAGAGTCTGGTATAAACAGTGTAGTGTTCCACTTCCTCCCGTGGCATATAGGTGTTATATGATTTTAATATTACTAGATACCACCATTTATGATGATGATGACACTGTTCTTTTTCTTGTGGAAAAGCTTTTCTTTTAATTCTTGTAAGAGTTCTTAATTTGTTATTTCAATATAAATGGTTGTGGGAACAAGATGAGAATTATAAAAGCAAAGTGTTAATGTAGGGTTTTGAAGAACAATCACAGAGAAACCTTGTCTTCTCCATGTTCCTGTGTTGAAGAGATGCTTTTTTCTTATGGTAACTTAAATGTGAATAGCCCCATTATTTGTAAAAATATATTAATTGATTTACATTCTTTGTTTTTCGGGTTACGAAACTATAGTACTTTATGTGGTTTTGATTTGATTAACTTCAGTATTTCTCATACTCTATTCCAGCTCTACTTTCTGATCATTTGTGTAGAATAGCAATTCTGCTTCCACAGCCTCTGGTAATTCTCCAGTTCAGCTGCTCTCATTTTATTTATTTATTTATTTATTTATCTGTGTGTCTGTCTGTCTCTGGTAGGATAGTGCCTAAGGCACTTGACGCTTAACAGAAGGCTGGCAGTTCAAACCCACCAGCCACTCCTCGGAAGGAAAGTTGGGCAATCCTACTACTGTAGTGATACGGCCTCGGAAACCCAAGGAGAGGTCGCTGTGAGTCAGGGCCGACTCGATGGCAAATAACAACAACAGTGACCCCTTTATACTCTTAAATATTATCAAGTATCTCAAAGGTCATTTGCCTGCGTGGATCATATATCTGTTGATATTTACCATATTAGAAGTTAAAACTGACAGAATACAAAAATATTTATATCTACTTATGTTAAAAAATAATAAATCTATTATGTATTAATATAAATAAATCTTTAAAACTAAAAATCTATTCTTCTAAAATGAAAAATGTTTGGTAAGAAGAATAGTGTTTTACAGTTTTTATAAATCTTTTCAGTATATAATAGACAACCGCTGGATTATCATATTTGCTTCTGCATTCAATCTCTCATGTGGCTTCTGGAAAACCTGTGCTCACTTGGGAGCAAATGAGAGTGAAAAAGTTAAAAATCACCTTAATATTATTATAAAAATAATTTTGACTTTGAAGATCCTTTCAAAGTGTCTTGGAGACCTTCTAAAACTTTATGAATTTTGTTTTTATTTTTCTTTACTAAATAATAATAATGTTTACCTCCTTGAATTATTGTAAAATCAAGGGAGATAAAATTTGTAAATCATAATTCCTTGTATGTAATAGCCATGAAGCAAATGTTCCTCTTCTCTGCCCTATTCTGATCTCTTCTGAAAATTATTTCTATATTTTTCCCTTTGGTTCCTCTAAAATGAATACTCTTTTCCTCTCAATATTTCTCTGTAATTTGAAACAATACTAGTAGTTTGTCAGTAAGCTAAAGTAGTTTATAAACTATCACAAACTAACAGTACATAATAAAAATCCTTTTTATACTTCTTCTTTGCAGGTTTAGAATAAAAACCCAATAGTATTTGAGGGGAAAAGTATTGTCTTGCTGCTGTTATGATAGCTATGGAGTGGGGAAAATGTCATTACATGTAAACCAAGTGGTTGGATTTGTTTTTCCTGAAGAGTCTTTACATCAACATGTTTCTTCCAATGCATAATGCATATACAGAAAGATTATAAAAGCTACAGTGTGAAATACTAATATTGAGCTGATGAGTAGCAACATTTAAGTAAGTACTGAATTCAAGTTCCAAAATGGTTGATAATTAAGAAAAGAAAATTCCATTACTGCACCTTTTAGGAATAAAGAGTTAGAAAATGGCATTTTTCAAGAATTTTCAGCAGAATCTCCCTTCAGTGTCCTCTCTGATGAACACAATTAATAGTGTTGTAGAAGACTTGACCTCTGCTGTTGGAGAGGTTAGCTACGCTTTGACTGACTCAGTTGCTGAACAGGTGACAACTGTGATAAATGGCTTTCGCACAGAAGAGGAAAGCTCTGCAGCAAAAGAAGCCATAGATGATTCTAAACAAGAAGATGTCATGTTACCAGAAATCTCCAAAGATGCCAGTGGTCAAAAAACACAATCCAATTTAGAGCACAGAGCAAAGCAAATAAATTGTTATAATACTTCATTTCCACAAAAGCAGGAACAAAGTATTCATGAAGAAAGAGTACTTAAACATATTAATGATAAGCAACAAACTCTATCAACATATCAAGAAACTAGTAATGCTGGTGATTCTTCTTTGAAAGGCCACACCAGCAGTGGGACATTGGTTCTCAAGCAGAGTACACAGGCTGGATCTACTTGCCAAGAACTTGAAAGTATTGACAGATGTAAAAAAACTAATTCTAAAGATAGATTACATGGAAAAAACGAAGAGCAAATAAATACAACAAAATACTACAAAGTGAAAGGAGACACAAAAACAAAGAAAAATGAAGCCATTTGGGCCAAGAAAGGGACAATAAAAAGTAAAGATGAAAAATATTCTAAGATAATACCAGAAAAAGGTGAGGTCTCTTGATGTTGCTTTGAGTGAGTAAATTTTCTCTTGATTTTTTTAAATTAGGAAAGCTTTTTCCAAATTTCTCAACTTTCTTAATACAAATCTATCTAATTTAAGACTTTCTGAATCCTCTTACTGAGAGACATTTTTAAGGCATTTAGTTTTTCCTCACACTCACTTTAAGAGCATTCCTGGTATTTGTACACCCATAAGAAAAATATTACGCTCGGAAGGAAGGTTGGGCAACCTACTTCCCCCAAGGAGGGGTCGCAATGAGTCGGATCCGACTTGATGGCCATAAGTTTAGTTTAAGTCCCTATATTTTTTGGCCAATTTTTCAGTGACCCTATTTTTTCTAAATTCCACTTATTTTATGGCCAGAAGCTCCATGTTTTATTCTAAGTAGTGTGCATACTTCAGCTGGTGTTTATTTGATGTGCTATACATGCATTTTTAAATTTTTTATTTTTCTGACCAACCCTTAAGTTCTCTATTCATTCTAACTCTTCATACCTAATCAAATATTAAATGTTGTATATTTCTTCTTGACAGCAGTAGATTTTATTTTATTGATTAACAAGCTGTAAGGTATGCCTTTTTTATTCATTTTTCTATACATTATGAATTTTATATATGACTCCTCTATATCTATAATGAATATACATGAACAATCAATTAACATTCATGAATTCTCTTTATAGAAGTAAGATTTCAACTAAACATTTAGAGTTTTCAACCACAATATTTGTGGTAATTTTCAAAACCATTAGCTGACAGTTTATTGGTTTTGGTTACAGAATTGCTTCCTACTACAAGTAGTTATTTTAGATAAATCTCTAAGTCATCTCCATCTATTGCTGATCTGATACAAGGCCAAAAGTACATTGGCATTTATTTATAAAATATACATCTGGAATTTTCTGCAAATTCATATTTCTATAAAAATAACGAAAACTAAGTACTAACAGAAATGAGTAAGACTTTTTCAGCCCTGATACGTGACTACATACATGATAGAGATCTTCAGCTCTTGAGTATATGATTTCTAAATGATATGTAGAGGCTGATGCAGGATAAATGAGCTAATTAAAAAGGAATGCAATTGTTTAGAATATATCCATTTTGGAATCTGTTCTTCTACCAATTTTTTCAATATCAGATTCAGTGGTTTTTGGGATTAAAAAAAAACCCAAACTCACTACCATGGAGTTGGATCCAAATCATAGCGACTCCTCCTTGGGCTTCCGAGGCAGTATCACTATGGAAGTAGATTACCCAACCTTTCTTCCGAGGAGTGGCTGGTGGGTTTGAACTGCCAGCCTTCTGATTAGCAGTCAAATGTCTTAGGAACTACGCCACCAGAGCAGCTCTGGTTTAGTTTTTTGTAACTTTATTTCTTAAAGTAACAAATAAAATAAAGTAGAATAGCTTACATATTATTATTTATTATATGATTTAATTATATTATTTATTATGTTATTTCCTTCAAAGCATATCGTATTGAATGGTTTATCCATGAACAAGTAATAATATAGGATATGAAATTTTGTTTTGATTTGATTTCATTCAGAAGAGTGCTGGTACCTAAAGAAACCAAGTATCTCTCAAGTATGTCATAATATAGCCAGTACTAAACTTAAAACATGTTATGTTACAAAAATTATTTTGCAAGTTTTTTGACCCATAGATTCACCCTTCCCTTAGCTGAACTACAGTGTTGACAGTGGTTCAGTGGTAGAGTTCTCACCTTCCACGCAGGAGACCCAGGTTCAGTTCCCAGCCAATGCAGCCACCACCTGTCTGTCAGTGGAGGATTGTTTGTCAGTGGAGGATTGTTTGTTGCTATGATACTGAACAGGTTTCAGCAGAGTTTCTGGACTAAGATAGACTAGGAAGAAAGACCTGGTGATCTGCTTCTGAAAAATCAGCCAATGAAAGCCCTATGAATCAAATACTCCCATTCTGTTGTGCATGGAGTTGTCATGAGTTGGGCACCAACTTGACTGCAGCTAACAACAATGACATTGTAAATGTGACCTATGTTCTAGGTTCTGACATAAGGGTTGTAATATATAGAAAAAGGAGTAGTTTCCATATCTATTTCTGAAGCAGGGCTACTTTAAGTAAAGTTTGGTGAAATTTGACTAAAGAATTTCTAGTTATTTTTGCAACAGTCTCAAAGCTCTACTGCTGCCTCCAGCCACCACAATGGTACTCTACAGAGTGTAAAAGCTCTGAACTGAGGGTCAGAAGGCCTAAGTTCCATGCTGGCTCTGCCAACATCTTAGCACTATCCAATGGGACTTTCTGTTATGATAGAAACATTCTGTATATCTGCATTTATTCAATACAGTGACTACAAGCCACATCTGGCTTTTAAGTACTTGAAATGAGGCTAGCACCACTGAGAACCTGGATTTTAAATCTTACTTAATTTTAACTGGTTTCCATTTACATTGTCACACGTGGCTAGTGGCTACATATTGTGGAGCAAAGAATATTGCTACATATTGGTCATAGTTTTACCCTTTTATTCCATTATTTTACTAAACCACACAAATTTAGTAAAGATATCTAAGCTCCTTTAAATGTTCAAATTTTGTCCCATATTTTAAAATTACTTATTCTGTGCCTCCCCATCCACATTTCAAACTTTGATACCTTCAGTACAGACGATCTCAAGTGAGTAAAAGAGAAAAATAATTAGATTTTTTTGAACTAGTCAGTTCTAACTGCTGTGTTCTCTTCACCCTTCTTCAGTGTTTTAATAATTCTAAGAAGATTGCTTCTTGGTTTAAATGAATCTCAACATAGTACAAACTATATTAACTTTTTTCAAAAAATATTAATAACTAGTCCTTTCTAAAATAATTGAAAATGTATAGATTTTGAAATTTTTATGTGAAATTTGGCTAACAGTACGTAAAATTTTCCTAATAACCCTACCTTTCCCAGGTAGTTAGTATTAACAGTTTGGTGTCTGTCTTCCCAAATATTTCTGTATATGCTTGTAAACATGTCATGTGTGTGTGTATGTGTATGTTTTAAATGGAGGCTATAAGTATATCTAGTGTTTTGCAGCTTCATTTCTCTTTAACATAATGTTGAGCTATCCTTTCCCTGACACTACTGGTGTAAGTTCACCTCCTTATTTTTAATAACTATATATCACTGTGTACATATATCATAATTTACTTAGCCAAAGCCTACTTATGGACATTTAGGTTTATTTTTTAATTTTATTTTTCTTTTGCTATTAAAAACAGTCCTGCAGTGAATTTTCTTAAATATATATCTTTGCTCACCGTGATAATCTTAGGCTAAATTCTTAGAAATGGAATTGAGAAATTCATAGAAATAAATCAAATACTATACAGATTTTTAAATGTGATAAGTGTTGTCAAATTGCTCTCTAGAAAAGTTGTACCAATTATAATTCCACCAATAGTATATAAACCTGCCCATTTGCCTGCTCCCCTTCCAGTACTGACTGTTGTCAGTTTTGAAAAATTTGACCAAGATGATAACCAAAAATATCTCCTGATAACACAAATTTTGAGTTTTTTAATTAGGCCAATATGATGTACTGGCAAATACTTAAACCTTCCTTTGTGTGCTACCTTTTTTTTGAAAAAAGAGAAAAAAAAAACCTGATTGCTTTCTTTGACCAATTTATGTTTTCCTGATGTTTTCAATTTAATGTTAAGGTATGAGAGAGACACTGAGTGCTGATGTAAAATGCATACTTATGTGTCATGGACCAAAAAATATATTTTAAGTTTTTTAAAAATTGTGCAAGATTATGAGCACTATAATTTCTTTTATATCTAACATGATTGAAAAATCCATGTGACTAACATTATTGATATAATTAGAATATGCAAAATTGACTTTTTTCTGTTAAAGCTTAACAAGACAAAAATCCTTACATGAAAAAATTATATTTCTCTAAAGCTACAAATTCAGATAATGTGTATGTATATACATGTATATATAGTTTGTATGTATATATATTTCTCTAAAGCTACAAATTCAGATAGTTTGTATGTATATACATGTGTATATAGTTTGTATGTATATATCTATATCTGTAAAGTTATATAGATATATGTTGTTTGTTGCTGTTATATATATATAAACCTTCAGCCTGTTATTTCATATTTTACTGCATTGAAAATATCATTTGTTCTCCCCATCATTCCAAATAGATAATTCATACATGGACAGAGATGAGCATGGTTCATCCTCTGAAAGTGAAGATGAAGCACTGGGTAAATATCATGAGGCCTTATCCAGAACACACAATTCCAGACAACCACTGGCAGATTCTAGACAAAAGAACTATACATGGGAAACAAGACAAAAATACAGTCCTCTGTCTGCAGAGTATGATGGATACAGTAGTGAAGCATCAATAGATGAAGGTAAGATACATTACTTATTTTATTTTGTTAAATCACAAACTATGGTATAAGGATGTAGATTATTTGCACCTAAAATTTTAGGCACCTGTGGTTACACAATATACAAGACACAGTACACACAATAGAGTCATATTTCTGAGAATGTAACATATTCAAATTAAAGTCTCAGCTCAAGCCAAAAACAGAAACAAAATCCAAAATAAAAGAAAACTTCAGAGTGAAACACCAAATAATTAAAATACAGTGGTAATTCTAGCTCTCGTTCCATCATGACATGAGATAAATGGCAAACGTGAATCCACTGTTCTCTTAGATAGAATCAGTTCCTATATGCCTGTTACAGGAACTGACAGTCTAAGTATCTCACAATGTTGAATATGCTTCCAGTGTGTAAATACATGCTTTTTCATTCAATATGGCCTTGAAACATGGGCCAAATACACACCACGTGATACACAGCAGAGGAAATGGCGATCTGTTCATGAAGGAGGGAAATCTGAGAGTTGGAACTGTATTGTACTGTTCTTTAAAGGCAATTTAAGTAATTTTCAAGGATTATTTTGTCTCTAATTGATATTTGCATATGTACTCATATTGACTTCAGGACTCAACCTATGTAGAGGGTGTAAATACATTGTTATATCCTTTTACATCTACCTGTAAGAGAAATAAATAAAGATACTGCTATTAATTGAAGCATATTTTTGTACATTTTAATAAATTACTAACTTATTGATATATTCTATGACTACTCATAGTAGTTATTATGTTTATACCCAAAAGTGAAGAAAAGAGTGATACAACCTAGATATCTTTATTGTTATGATACATAAATACACATTATCCTTGTTTTTGTAGCTCTGGTTTGTGATTTAGGGTCTATTACTAATAATGACTTAAGGTCTTACACCAACTAGCACATTGTTTTCAAAGGGGCTATAACCCATTTTTGTATTTGGCTATCTGCTAACTAAATATTTCTATACTTCCTTTTAATTTATAATGCTCAGGCATAAGAATACACTAAGCAAATTCTGAGGGATTACTATGAGGTTCATTATGAGATGCTAGGGAAGAAATAAAAAAAATACTAGTTGTGGACTTTACCCTCAAAAATACCTTTCTAATACTTGTAAAAATAAGACATGTATTTACAAAGATGTTAAATAATGCAAAGCAGTAAAGACAGTGCCCAAATTATGTATACTCCTGGCATGTGGATAATACAGCAGAAAGAAAATGGAATTTAAAGCCCAATCCTTGTTTACATTCAGGCTCTATAAGTTGACATATATTAACTATGAAATCTTTGGCAGTATAATTAACTGTTTTTAAGTTTGTTTCATTGTCTCTAAAATGTGAGTACTACCCACCTGGTAAGTTTGCCATGAACATTAAATGATACATGTGATACAGTTTTTTGCATCCTGCATCCTATGCTGAATAGAGGAGCTCTGGTAGCATAGTGCCTAAGGCACTTGACTGCTCACCAGAAAGCTGGCGGTTCAAACCCACCAGCCACTCCTCGGAAGGAAGGTTGGGCAATCCTACTTCCGTAGTGATACTGCCTCGGAAACCCAAGGAGGGGTCGCTATAAGTCGGGGCCGACTCGACGGCAAACAACAACAACAACAACAACATGCTGAATAGGTAGGTTATCAGTAAATGGTAGTTATTGATGAGGGTAGTGACAACAGTGATGAAAATGAGCAATTTTGAGCCAGCCCTGAGTTTGTAACTTGTGACGCTAGGCACTTCCCTTTTTGCAGCTGCAGTTGAGGTTTTGTTTTTTTTTTTCCTTCTTTTCCCCTACTCTCTTCTTCTTACCCTTTAAGCCCTGCACTAAATTGCTCCTTGATTGCTTCTTTACAGTAGTCCTCTTTCTGTAGCCTTTGGGTGGAGTTCAACAGTGAGGGCGGCAGGGCAACCTTGATGGCACTTACATTCTTCCCTAACCTCTGGAATTGGTGCGTGTATGCTAGAATCAACTTCTTATCTTATTTTATCCATATATTTAGGGCCCATCACGTACTTTTCTAGACATTTTGACCCTAAATTTTTTGCTAAAATACCCAGGGTAGATTGATTTTAGGCATTCTGAAATTAGATTTCATAAACATTTCTTGAGAGCTTTTTATGTGCCGAGCACTGTGTTAGATACTATGGATATAAATATGAATCATACAGGCTAGTTTTGTTCAAAGAGTGCATAGTCTGGGGTAAACTGGACTAGTGAATATATGTGTAATATAATGTGATAAGAGATCTTATTTACATGAACAATATATAGAGGAGATTATGACTCAGACTGTTTGGGAGGTAGGTATATGGGGAAAGTATAATAGAGGCTGCACAGAATAGGTGGCATTTGAACTGGGCTTCAGTGTGAATTATTTGAACAAGAATAGAATGGTGATGGTATGAAATCATGAAAGCAAAGGAGAGTGTATTTCAGTGTTTTGAACTTTGGATTTGTGTTTGGAGAAGGGGTAGGGACTGAACGGCATGCTCAGGAATTTGGATATTATCTTATAGGAAATGAAGAGCCCTGGAAGGTTTTAAAGCAGGAGAGTCTGACACAATCAGATCATTATTTTAAAGTAAGATTATTTAGCTGTTATAAAAGAGATGAATTGGAGTTAGGAAATACTAGAGGCAGAAAGGACCAGTTTGATAAATAATGGTAAGATCCTCATAAGCAATGGATTTAGGAATGAAGAATACATAAATTTAGGGATGGACTCAGTATATCTTTATGAATGTTTCAATGTGTGCAGTAAAAGAAGAATCAAGAGTTTAGTTAACCAAGAGAACATTTAAGTAAGTTTTGGGGAGAAGATGATTTAGTTTGGGTCATGCTGTGTTTGAAGTGACTATGAAATGAATGTGGAGATGAATATCCTTGTTGTTAAAATGTCAAAGGAATTTAGGGTGAGGAGGTGTGTTAGGATGGGTCCTCTAGAGAAGCAAAACCAGTAAAGTTTATATATACATATGAAGAAAGAGAAATTTATCTTAGGAAAATGGCTCACAAACTTATAGAAGCTGGCAAGTCCCAAGTTCTTGGATGAAACGTCAAGCTGGAGGCTTTTCCCGACTCACCCAGCTGTAGGGACTGACAAGCTCAAGGTTGGCAGGTGGTACACTGGCTGTTGACTCCAACAAATGACGAATCCAAGATCTCCAGGCCGAATGGTGGATTGTTCACTCCCGACAGTTGTAAGCAGCACAGCAGGATCCTGATCCACAAAAGAGTGTCTCTTTTCCCAGGATGTCCATAAATATATCAGAAGCAGGCCATATCCCTAGGGAAACTCCCTTTCAACACATTGGCTGCTCAAACATATATATCCGATCCCATCATAGGAATAACCCACATCACAGCTGCTTAAACCACACAGAACTGTGGTCCAGCCAAGTTGACATACAGCTCCAACTATCTCAGGAGGGGACTTAGGGAATGTGAGATAACAGTGCACTTTGGGAGGTAAGGATATGGGGGCAATATTGTGAAAGTTATTGATTATTGAAAAGTTATTGAAAGATGTATCATACATTATTGATTATTTAAAAAAACACTATAAGTCAAAAATAAGTTCAGTGGAGTATAGGAAAGATAGGAGAATTTAATTAGAGAGGGAAATTTCAGAACTCAAGATCTTAGGGAAAGCCATTTCAAGTGATAGTAAGCTCACAATATACACACAGGCGTGCAGAAATACATAGAACTGCTAGGGAGGGGAGTAGAATACCATCCATTAGGGAAGGTGTGAGAGAGTGTCAGAGAGAAAATGGCATTTGGGTTCAGCTTTGAAGAATGAGTAGAAAGTTGATGAAAATATATGAGTAGAGGTATTTCAGATAGAGGGAACTTCATAACCCCCAAAATAAAAACTGGTAAAATATTTCAGGAACAGAGGAAGAAAAGTCCACTTGGCTGTAACAAATGGGGGATAAGAGATAAAGAGATAAAATTGGAAAGAGATAAGGTCTAAAGCCTACAGTGCCTCCCTGACTAAGAAGTTTAGATTTAATTTGTTAGCCAATGAGAACTCAATGTAAATTTTTAGCAAGTAACCGAAATCAAAGATTTGCTTTAAAAAAATTAATTTAGCAACAGAAAGACAATAGGAAAATATACCAATTAAGGATGTCTTTGGAGTAATCTATGTGAGAAATGATAAAAATCTGAATTACATTAGTGGCAATAGCAGTATAGGAGGATAAGAGAGACATTATGGAGACAGAATTTACTGGATTTAGTAAATGAAAGTATTTGGAAAATTAGAAAGAAGGAAGGAAGTGTGAAAGATGACACTGGGTTCCAGCACATAATACTAGGAGAATCATGGAGTCATTGATGTAAATAGGAAAATCTGAGAGAGTACTATTTTATTTTGTTGGTAGTTGGAAGGATGAGTGTGGTAGGTGATATAATAAGTAGTTGTAGATACATGATGTAGCAACTGGAAATGCTTTTTAGCTTGTGATAAATAGGGTTACAGAGTGATATTTTTAGACCCTACATGCTTTGGGGATATTTTATTCATGGCAATGGACAAAATTGATGGAGGAGAAAGTATGTAGAGGAAAGATGAGAGGATCATATTTTCTCATTGACAAGAAGATGAAGGGTGTCACTGAAGGAAACAAAGAAGAAACAGTAAAAGAGATAAAGAAAAGAAACAGAGAATTTTGTAATTTATCAGCCATGGGAGAAGAGTTTTAAGAAGGAGGAGGGTAGTGTGTGTCAGATGCTGTAGAGCGGGAAGAAAATTTGGTAAGTTTCTCTGGGTTTGTCCAGTAGATGTTAATCAATGTCTTTCAATTAAAGTTTAGTAGCATGATAAGGAAAGAAGTCAGACTGAACATTGCTAAGGAGAGAGTAGATAGTAAGAAAGCAAACAGTTGTTGCCTACACTTTCTTATCACCTCCTCACCTATCCTTCCTTTATCATCTTTCAGACTCAAGAAGGAGAGGCAGTTAAAGGGATTTGTAA